TTCACACTTTCAGAACGGAAAACATGAAAGTCACTCGATCAGAGAGGCAACCTTCGAAGACATAAAGGAAATGCTATTCTCCTTATTGCGATGAGCGCCGTAGCTTCCTGTACCAGAATGCTTCGTCGGTTGTATATGAAACATATTTCAAGAGACTTGCTGGTGCTTTGCCATGATTGCATTTTTTTAGGCTTCTCCCAACGCATTCCACAACAGTTTGAGTCTTGTGAAATGCTCTCAACAGCCAGTGGCATGGCGATTGTAACATGTCATTGGAGTTTCAGAGGCTGGGGAAGGAGAGATGAGGGGCCCCGGGGAGGGGGGAAGGAGACGCGCCTAGGAGGGGTTGGAAGGAAAAGCGAAGCTTGGGAAGTATTGATATGCTGATCGCGAGAGACTGGGAGATGCCAGAGGAGAGCCCCCCCCCCCCCCCCCTCTCCTCCCGCCCGCTCGCCAGCCCGCTGCTCGTCTCCGCGTATGCATGCCCAGGGGTGCCAACGAAGGATCAGGTGCACTGACGAAGGAAGGTCCTCTCTCGCATTTATTGTAGGGGGGTCATTATCATAGGTGTACTGTAACTTATTACTCATATAAATTTAGTAAGATAAAAATAACTTTAATTAAAATTAATTGTGGCATTTACAAAATCTACGAATTTTGGTTGCCCCCTGTGAAAATTGCCTTGCGCTGCTCTTCAGCCGTTAGGAGTGGTTCACTAAAGCAACCCACGATCTCACCTACCCCTACCCTCCTCCTGGACTACCCCACCCCACCTTGATGACCTCTGCAAATCGTCGTACAGCAAGGTACATCACCCTACCCCCTCTTTGTCTTCGTGGATCAGTAAATGTACCCCTACTATACCTCCCTTTCGGATCATTTTTCACCCTACCCCTGGTGATCTGTACACTTTGGTCTGGACCACCCCCAAGAGATTCTCCCTTGACCCCTCACAACTGCCGGGCCGTCGGCCGTCTAGTCACTCGCCGTCGCAGTACGCCGGTCACCGGGGCCGCACTGACTCACCGTCGCTTCCGCCCCAGGGTCCCGCCGCGAGTCCGCCCGTCGGTGTGCCACTGCCAGGCTGATTCGGCCCGGCCTCAGTGGTGCACTACTGCGGCGGTGAAACATGTATCAGTTCACCGTGGCAGTGTTTACTCGAAACGGTTCAGATTGGGGGACAGCCGGCGCCGGCGGCCCGGCCGCATCGCTGCGGCCGGCCCCGGGCCCCGGCCTGAGGGTTGGTCGTAACGGAAGAGATTGAAGAGTGTAACGGGATCCAAGAATGACAGCGGAAAGAAGTGTTTTCGAGAAACAGCCCCTCAAAATTAGTTTTAATATGAAAAACCTTCTTTTCGTGAATCAAAAGTTTTTATACATGTCTAAAACTATTATTCCCCCTGTTGACCCCTTGCGGGGTAACCCACTTCCTACCCCCAAAATAGAGGTCTCAGATAGGGGTGGTAGCAGCTGGTCTGGTGGTGTGAAGCCGGGTCTAAAAGTTTCATATTCTACTACCCCACCCCTTGCCATTGCCTCCTGACCTACCACACCACCCTACAAGAGCGATCTACTGTCGAACTATGATATGGACCCCTACCCATTTGGTGTTTCATCGAATCCTAACGTCAACTACCCCTAGTCAAAATACCCACCAGATCCCAACATGAACCCCCACCCGCTACCCAAATGACCCCCACCCCAATAACTAGCGCCCCCAACTACCCCACCCCGTTCAAATTTTCCGAAAACTCCGTCATGGCCGCTCAACAGGTGTGTAAAACAGAGGTTGAAACATGGGAGAGGAGGGAGGAGGAGTAGGAGGAACGTGTGAAAGGTTGTTATCAACCTGTATCTTGAGCAGTGAGTATGCTAGCAAATACTTGTTGTACCTGTTTGGATGTATGCGTTATGAATCTCGATTTCCCAAAGCAAGTGCAAAGGGTTTTCGGCGTGTTTGTTTTCAAGGAAGATCATGACACTTTCACGATAAGTTTTGAATGTTGATACTAAGTTTGTAATGAGACCATTGAACTGAGTGCAACCACATGCTTGGATTCGTTTCACTTTGATCTCGTTGAGAATGCTGCTCGAATATGCGCTGAAGCGTTGTTGTCAGTTTGTGCTCATGAGGAAATTCCTCCAATTCAATCAAAGCAAGATTCTTCCCATGCTCGTTCTGTTCAGCGAGCTCTCGATTCAATCGGTTTCAGCTGAGATGTACAGGTGAGACCTCGCCTGTTTGTTGGTTTTTGGGAACCAATCTCATGTGATTCTTCTCCAGGCAAGAAGCAGTCCCGTCTATGTATCATACATGCAAGCTACATGAAGACTGTGACGAAAGCAAGAATGTCACATGACATGATGGCATATTCTTCTTTGTCAAAGATCTTCATGTACCATGTTTGTTTCTTAGCAAGTGACCGCTCACTATCGGTCACTTAGATTTTGAATTTTGTATATTATGTAAGAATTCAGTGCATACTTGAGTTGAAAGGCGACCAGTCACTCAAGCTTTCATGTCTCATGCTACTCTATGCTCTTCTACCGCCTACCGCAGACTCTCAGGCTGTATCGGGCGACCCGCTGCACAAAGCCTGACTCTGCCAGTGAGAACTTCAGTTCGGAACTTCGGGATGATCCCGGGCCGAGCCTCAGTACGGTCCGATCCGGGCGGCCCGGCGGAGGGCCCCGGGCGGCACTGCGGCATCCGATCTGAAGGCTGAGTCACTGAGTCAGTACTATACGGCGGGCCCCGGCGTGGCCGTCGGGATCGGACCGTGCCACGGTGACGGTGACCGGGCCCCGGTGATCGGACCCCGTGCCGGGCCGGGATCGGATCAGGATCGGACCGGCGCGCCGCCGAGTCGGCCCCGGACGGGACGGTACGGTAGTCACCGTACGGTCGTGGCACAGGGCGCGGCGGCGCGGGCCCGGGCGGGCCGGGCCGGGGCCCGGCGGCCGCAGCCTGTGGGCCGGGGCACGTGACTCACAGCGGCGGCAAGGGTCCGATCACCGGGGTGACTCACTGCCGTGTACGGTCGGGCCCCGGCGCGGCAGTCACTGACTCAGTGGCAGTAGCAGCGGTCCTGCAGCGGCCGGCGTCAAAGTTTGAGCGGGGACGAGGGACCGCATGCCTACGGCCCGGAGAGGTGGAGGGAACAAGCCATCATCAGTGAGGGCATCTGAATTAGACTAACTTGGAAGGGCTTTATAGATTAATAAAGGGCTTATAGACTAATAAAGGCCTTTATCGTAAGCCTCAGTCGCTGACTCAAGTCAACAACCGCCAACTACCCTCTACCCCCACACTTTACGACTTTTCCATCCTCTACCCCTACTCGCTACCAAGGACTACCCAGGCTTCTTACATGGAGAAACATCCTACCCCACCTCCCTCTTTTCCTCCTACGAATTAGACGCATACAACCCCCACCCCTCTTATCCCTAGGATCTTAGGCTATGAACCCCCTCCAACAGCTACCCCACCCCTTCATGCTAAGTTTCAAAACCCAAGTCCTGCTGACTCGGACGTCGTAGTATAATGCAGGGCCACAAACTTCAGGGTATGGCAGCGGGGAATGGAGGAGCAGGAGCAGGAGCAGGAGCAGGAGCAGGAGCAGGAGCAATACTTCAATCTGCACAAGCGAACGAGAAAGAAAAGACTCTTGAGCTTAGCGTCAGCATGTATTACGCAGCAATGATCAAGTAGCGATGCAGAGAACTTTTCACGTTTTTCGTACCGAGAAAATTTCGATGAATTATTCAGGCGTCGTGGCAAAGGCATTGAAAGAGATCTCCATGTAGAAAAACGATGTAGAGAAGCAAAAAGATTCGAAATTATGAGCAAAGCTGCTGTGGAAAGGGAGAGATCTGTAATGAAGAGATGTAGAAATGAGAGCTGCAAGCAAGGACAAAATAGATGAGCTTGACGCAGCCATCAATTGAAAACTATGAGTTGTAGCACGATTGGTGATAGACGATTCCGGGCCTCTTGGCGAAAGAATATACAGAATTGAAGCAAAAGTCTAGAAATAAAAATGGATGGAACATACAGCAAGAACTGAGGCAGAAATAGAATAGCAAACCAGTATTGAAAGTTGGAAGGATACAAATGAACATCTTGTGATTTAGCACAAGGCCAGGCAGCGAGAGCAATTGTAGGTCAATTTGAGTCTACAACGATTCAACTCTAATAGCATGCTTGTATAGCCAGTCACACTGCACCCTGAACTAGAAGCTCGATGGAAGGCTACGAAGATCTGATAGATTTCGAGAATGACCCGACGATGCCAATCTGTGCTCGGTACACGTTTTGATCCATCATCGCAATCTTGGTCTGACAAGGTTCTATTGAAGGCGTGAGATGCGTGAAAGGGTTGCATATCAGCTCAAGCTTGACGCTGTACTATCACTCACCACATCTGGATGCTGTACTAAGACCATGCTTCAGGTGCGAAGAGCGATGCCTGCTGAGTTGGTCGACAAATCACGAATATTTTACTCTGAAGGAGCGGACTACATGGACAAGAGGAGAGCAGTAGATTCTAGAGAACATCTGATGGAAGGGAATGCAGATGCCTTGACAGAAGAAGAGATCGAAAGAGTGTTGGAGGATGTTGAACAAGACTCGGAGCTAACCATCATCCGCAGTGCTCGTCTAGAAGAGTTGATGGAGCTCTCGAAGCTCAACGTGAACCGGGGGCAGGAGCAAGTGAATTCAGGTCAAGGAGAGGTGCAAGCATCCGACCCCGCGAGAGTGCTCGAGCTGATCACGAGCGGAGCTCGCGTTGTGATCCTCGTGACACGCGAAGAAGCAGATCTAAGTCCATCGCAAGGAGAAGTTTCGACTGGCATCTTGAAGAACATGAAAGCTCTTGCAAAAGAATTCCTTGGGACTTCTTTCCTGTTTTGCGTACTTCACTCTAAATTCGGGGACGACCTTAGATCTCGTCTACAGATATCACAGCTCCCCGCGCTCATCTGCTGTCGCGAGGGTGTGATAGTATCTCGTGTCATGGGCACTGCACTGAGACAATTCGTTCTGATGGAGACATTGGGCTCCGTGATCTTTCAAGCTTGGCTAAATCAAGCTTGTATCCTTTGTAAGAGCAACAAGGAGTGTCCGCTGGTTGGCGAGGCAGAGCACAAGAGATGTTCGAGGAGTTGTGCCAGCGAGGACAGCAACGATCAAAGTGACTCTGACTTGGACGGGGTCAACGACAGCGACACTTCAGATGAAACAAACTTGAAGGCAAGTTTCACCAAGAACGGCATAGCGCTCGGTCCCAAAACATTCGTTAGGTGAAACTTCATTGTCGCGATTGGATCAGATGTAAATATTCATATTGGCAGGGCACAAACAGACAAAACAGCAGCTGAGAAGGTAGTCTATTGACCGTAGCTGTCAACCTTGTTTGAGTACTGGACCCCTACTTACTTGTTCTCGGTAAGGCACTTGGTCCTCATGTCTGTCGAGATCCAAACTGCTGCCAAAGAGGATTTTTCCATCAGCACTTGATAGGTGAGCCAGAGCTTGATCTGACTTGACCTATCCGTTGCTCGGCCGCTCAGCCTGTGACCGTCTGAGTCTCCTGAAGCAGCCGTGGCAAGGGCGTTGAGTCACTGGTGCTGTTGGCAGGCGGCGTGCGAAGCAAGGCTGAGGCTCCCAAGGACGAGGCGTTTCAGTTGGATCTGCATGATACCCACTGAGAGACCCGCCGGCAACCGCTTGGTGGTAAGGCGCTGAGCCTATCGCAGCCACTGGCATGGCTCAGCATGAGTCGCCGCCGGCTGCCTGACTGAGAAATGCTGGTGCCGAGTGGACAACGAAGGAGAGAGAGAACCAACTGGACCTCATCTTGCCGACACAGACGTCGAGAAGGATGCATGGTCCTGAGGAAGTGACAGGGAGAGAGTAGAGGGGACCTGCCAGGAATTTCAGGCAACACTGATTGAAGGCGAATCGTTGAACGTCGGACATGGGGAGGAATGGATCATCCTGTACCTCAAGGTTTTATTTTCCCTGAGAAGACGCCGAGCAAAAGTATGTCACGGTGGCAGAAATGGCACCTAGGGCAAGAGGTGAAGATTGATGGAGAATGGAAGCACGTTGGTCCACTCAAATGTTTGGAAGGAACAGATCTAGTGTGTTCCAACATGAAGAATCTCTGCAAAACAAAAGCAGTCATGTCATGCAGTCATGTTGGCCATCGGAGCGTCTAGCTTGAAGGCTTGGAGCTCTCAGCCTCTGTAGAGATTCAAGTTCGAGCCTGCTGCCAGGGTATGAGAGTCAAACTCCCCGGGCTCCCGCGCTGACTGAGCAGATTCATTGTCCTTCCTCTACGAGCGGCGCTGCCGCCGCGGCTCGGCATAATCAGGCGAGTCACATAGAAAGCGCACTGCGGCAACCGTGGCGCCGCATCCGATCCTGCAAGCCTGAGAGTCCGAGGGCGCCATGAGTGCTGGCGATAATGGGAGGGGGCGGAGTGCTGGCAGTATCGGACCGTCCAGTGCCAGTGGGCCAGTGTCGGATCCGATCATCATGCTGTAAACGACCGGGCCGGGCGCGGCCCCCGGGCAACCGTGACTGACGGTCGGACTCGGAGCCCCGCCGGCAGCGCGAGGGTGACATGATGGCAGTCGGGCCCGCAGCGGTGGCTCTGAGGCTCTCGGCGGATTCATCATCTGAGGCCCGGCCGGGCACCTGGTGGACAGAGGCCTGCGCCGGGCAGTGCGCCGGGCCTGTCAGGTAGTTTTGAGCGGGGACGAGGGGCGATGCTCATATAAAGGGTATGGGACGCGGCGTCGTGAAGAGGAAGGAGGAGAGGACGAGGACGAGGACGAGGACGAGGACGAGGACGATGACGACGATGCTGGCATTCTTCAGCGCTCTGTCGTGTGTGGAAGCATTCAGCTTGTTGCCCACATGCGGACCGTCTGTCGCCATGCGATATTCTGCGTTTTCCTCGCTCCGCCATGGTGCGATCTTGAGCAGCAGAGCGAGTCTGAGGAGAAAGGGAAGGCTGCAGGTAGTCTGCGAACAGAAGCAGAGCGAGGGTGATGAGGAGGTGGACAAGGAGGAGGAAAGGAGGAGGAAGCTTGAACGAGCTCAGCAGATTATCAGCAAGGTGCGATCGGAGCCTCAAGTGGAGAGGACGAGTGGGATAGGAGGAGCCTGGTCCTCCCCCGAGGAGGTGGAGAGTCACAAGCCCAAGGTCAGCACCTGGGGTGTCTACGAGCGACCTGCCGACATCTCCAAGGCGTACGGGGGAGGAAGAAAGATAGGGCTCGGAGGGTACACGCAGTCGGAGGAGGAAAGGGAGGAATCCACAGCCAAGACGATGAAGAAGCTGATGGAGTACAGGAAGTCGGTCGGAGTGGACAGGAAGCTGGAAGAAGAGCACATGGAGGAGATCAAGCAAGCGCTGGCCCTCTACGACAAGCACATGTCGTCCGGCGCTGTGTCGAGAGCGGTCAAGGCTCTCGAGGACGTGACCAAGTGGACGAGCTTCAAGACGACGGTGGGAGGGCAGGTGTACCTCAACCTGGCGCTCGCGTACGAGCAGATGGGAGAGCGACCCAAGGCGAAGAGCACGTACACGAAGCTGGTGGGGAACGGGGACCCCAACGTGTCGTCCAAGGCCAAGGAGCTGCTGTATGGGTTCGAGGCCATGGAGTTCTTACGGGTGAACGCGACGGTGAGGCAGGAGGAGAGGAAGGTGATGAACTTCAAGCTGCCGGAGGTGTGGGAGTACACCAACAAGCGGTACGACACGAGCTTCTTCGAGAAGAGGAAGGAGACGAAGAAGCAGCAGGCGGCTGGGGCGAGAGGCAGTGGCATCTTCGGCAGCAAGACGTCGGTGACAGGAGGAGAGGAGGTGGACCTGTCGCAGGCTGAAAGCAGGAGGAAGGAGGAGGGGGAGGAGGATATGGATGTCATCATCGTGGGGAGCGGGGTAGCAGGCCTGTCCTGTGCTGCCGTGCTGTCCAAGTATGGGTACAAGGTCAGGGTGCTGGAGAGCCATGCTCATGCGGGGGGAGCGGCGCACTCGTTCGAGATGAAGGGCAAGAGCGGGACGTACAAGTTCGACTCGGGCCCGAGCCTCTACAGCGGCCTGTCCGTCGACGAGAAGACGATGAAGTCGCAACAGCGCTGCGTCAACCCCCTGAAGCAGGTGCTGGACCTGGTGGGGGAGCAGGTGGACTGTGTGCGGTACGACACGTGGGGGGTCTGCCTGCCTGAGGGAGACTTCCCTGCTACTGTAGGGGCCGAGCCGTTCGCGGAGGACCTGCGCCGGCTGTTCCCCGGGGAGGAGGGGGAGGCTGCGGTGGCGGAGTGGCGGAAGCTGCAGGAGCACATGGCTCCCCTCGCCGCTGCCTCCGTCGCTGTCCCTCCCGCTGCCATCCGGTTCGATGTCGGGCTGGTGGCGACGCTACTTCGCTTCCTGCCCTCCCTGCTGAACCCGCGAGCTGTGTCGCTGCTGGGCCCGTACTCCAAGGTTCTGGACGAGGTGAAGGTGCAGAACAAGTTCATCCGCAACTGGCTGGACATGCTCTGCTTCCTCCTCTCCGGGCTGCCGGCGGACGGGACCATCGCGGCGGAGGTAGCGTTCATGTTCGCGGAGTGGTACCGTCCTGGAGTGCAGCTGGACTATCCGGTGGGAGGGAGCGAGGGGATCATCCAGGCGCTGGTGCGGGGGATCGAGAAGCACGGGGGGGAGGTGAAGCTGAACTCGCACGTGGAGGAGATCGTGGTGGAGGAGGGAGCGGCGCGGGGGGTGAGGCTGCGGGGGGGGAAGACGATGCGCGCGAAGAAGGCAGTGATCAGCAACGCGTCGCTCAAGTCCACCCTGCGCCTCCTCCCCCAGGGCTCTGTGCCCGAGGAGTGGAGGAGAGAGCAGGAGGGAACCAAGGAGTGCCCGTCGTTCATGCACCTGCACCTGGGCTTCGACGCCAAGGGGCTGGAGGAGGCGATGGGGGGGAAGGAGCTGTGCTGCCACTACATGGTTGTCAACGACTGGGAACGGGGGGTGGACGCGGAGCAGAACCTGGTCCTCATCTCCATCCCCTCGGTGCTGGACCCCTCCCTTGCCCCCGAGGGGACCCACTGCCTGCACGCCTACACCCCTGCCACTGAGCCCTACGACCTGTGGAAGGGCCTCAAGAGAGACTCCCCGGAGTACCTCAAGCTCAAGGAGGAGCGATCCCAGGTAGCCCTCCTCCCTCCCTCCTCCCTCCTCTTCCCTCCTCCCTTCTCCGCGCGTCACACTCTCCGTCTTTATCCCTCCCCTCTCCTCCCGCCCCCATCACAGCATGACGCGTCTCCTCGCAGGTGCTCTGGAAGGCCATCGAGCGAGTAATCCCAGACATCAGGAGCAGGGCAGAGCTGGTCAAGGTCGGTACTCCCCTCACCCACGAGAGGTTCCTCCGCAGGTACCGCGGCAGCTACGGGCCCGCGCTCAAGGCAGGACAAGATCTCTTCCCCGGCCCCCGCACGCCAGTCTCCCGCCTCCTCCTCTGTGGGGACTCAGTCTTCCCTGGCATCGGCATGCCTGCGGTGAGGGGAGGGGAAGGAGGGAGGTAGGGGGAGCAGGAAGAGTAGCGGAGGAGCAGCAGGTTGAGCAGGAGGAGGGGAGAGAGGAAGAAGAGAAGAAGAGTGGGGCAGCAGCAGCAGCAGCAGCAGCAGCAGCAGCAGCAGCAGCAGCAGCAGCAGCAGCAGCAGCAGCAGCAGCAGCAGCAGCAGCAGCAGCAGCAGCAGCAGCAGCAGCAGCAGCAGCAGCAGTCGTTGCTGACGACATGAGCAGGTGGCTGCCAGTGGGATGATCGCAGCAAATTCTCTCGGGCTGGAGACACTTGGGAAGCACCAGAAGCTGCTGGACGAGCTCGTGCTGGAGTGAGAGGAGAGGAGAGGAGAGGCGTCGGAGAGAACAGCACAGAGAGAGGAGGAGAGGAGCAGGAGGAGCAGGTAGGAACATGTGATGTGTATTTCACAAGTACAAAGTTCTCCTCATCTCACGACTTGTCCCACGGGGAATTGGAGGAGAAGAGTCCCGCAAGGAACGTCGACTGCCCCTGCGTCAACTTCTTGCTTGTCGACCTGCCGTATCGTCACGCCAGCACGCCCAGCACAGCAACTCGCCTGTCATGCAGCTTTGATGAGGATGAATGTGAAGAGGAGGACAAGGATGAGGAGGAGGAAGTAGTTGAAGCAGACGAGGAGGATGCAGAGGATGGTGAGGAGGAGGAGCTTGAAGTCGAATCATCGTGGGAGCCTTGCTGGCTGTCCAGCAGCTGTCTCAGTCTGTGCAAGATGCTGTCAGGATGAGGAGGGAGAGGAGGAGCAGAGGACTCACTTTGCGAGCTCCTGCATCTTCTCCTTGTACGACTTTCTGTCCGCCTCCGCCTGCACATGGTTGAGATCAAGACGGAGAGGAGCAGGAGGAGGAGGAGGAGCAGCTGACCGAGAAGGACAATGGAGGAGGAGGAGGTGGTGGTGGTGAGGGAGGGAGGGAGGGAGGAGGCAGGGAGGGAGGAGAAGGACGGGGAGGAGGAGGAGGAGGTTTCACCTTCTCGTGGAGCTCTTCCGGGTGGATCATCAACTTCTTGACGCGTTTGACTGTCTTGTCAGCTTCTTCCTCGTACTTCTTCGACTCCTTCGTCAGCCTCTTCACCTCCTGCTCATCGTCGCTCAGCTTTTTTCTCCTCCCCCCCCTGCTCCTCCCTTCCCTCTCCCTGCTGCTTTTGTTGTGCTCTCCCCCTCTCCTTCCCTTCCCCTCCTCTCCTTCCCTTCCCCTCGCTTCTCATCCCCCTTCCCCTCGTTCACCGCTTCCAGCGCTGACGCCTGCTTTTCCTTCTTCACGCTCTGTCCAGCAAGCTGGGAGAAACTCTCCTTTCCATCCAACTGGGTGGGAATAAGAGGAGGAGGCGGGAGGAAGGAGAGTGGAGGGAGGAAGCGAGCAAAGGCACAAGGGAGGGAAAGCGAAAGGAGAAGGAGAGTGAATCAAGATTTGCCTGCATGTCCGCAGCCCTCTTCTCAAGCTCCACCAGCACGCTGAGATTGAAAGTCAGACGGTCATGCAGATCGGCAACCGTGGAACGCGAGCACTGAAGGGGAGACTGGAGAGGAGAAGGGAGGAGAGGGAGAGGAGAGGAGGGGAGCAGAAGAGGAGACGTAGGGGAAGGAAGAGGAGAGACGAGAAGGGGAGGTGGGATTAGAATCCATCGAATGCGGATGACAACGACCTTCGGACTTGACGCGCGTCTTGCTTTGCCTGGCAACTCAAGTCAGCCGTCAGGCATGCAGCAACTTTTCGGCTCTCACATGCTTCGAGACCTTGACGAGAGCTCCGAGTTTCGTTCGCAGCCTGCGTGTTTTCCATCACCGACATGCGCATAGCGGCTAAGAAATCAAACTTTGTGTCTCCTGGATGTTTCGAAATCTTGATAGCCTGTGACAAGAGGAGCAGAACGTCACGGGAACCCGAGAGGAGGAGGAAGGAGGCGCAACAAGAGGCAGGATGGGGAAAGCGACACGCGAATCCAGTGAGAGACAAGAGGCAGGAAGACTCGAAACTTGTTACCAGGTTCGCAACTTTCAGTTCAGCTTGTCGGTACTTTCTCTGGTCTGCCGCGTATTTCTTTGTTGCAGTCTCCATCTGTTCAAACTTTCAGTCATCCATTCAGAGCTTACGATCTCCCAAAAACCTCTCCTACCACCTACTCTTCTTTCATTACCACCACCACCACCACCTCCTCCTCCACGGCAAACAACCACATCCACAGTCGAAGCAGCAGCTGCTGCCACTACTTCCTCCTCCTCCTCCTCCTCCTCCTCCTCCTCCTCCTCCCTCCCTCCCCCCCTCCCTCACCGGTTTTTCTGTGTCAACAAACTTTGTTTTCGCTTCTTCGCTCTCCTTCTTCAGCTTCGCCGCGTTCGCTCTCATCTCGTTCGCCTGCATCGCCGCACATTTCAGCGGCGACAAGGCACAGGTCACGTGACCTGCTGCTGCTCCCTCGCGACCTCGGCCCTCACTTTGCCCGCCTTCTTCTCCTCCTCCTTGGCTTTCAGCAAAATTTTCTGGGCGGACTTGTCATCCGAGGTGCTGGGAGGAGAGAAGTGGAGGGACAAGCAGGAGGACGCAGAAGAAGCGAGGAAGAGAAGGATCACCTTGATACCGGACTCAGCAGATGTCACTTCCTTGTCCAACTTGTTCGCCTTTGCCTGGATGCTCCATCAACCTTGACATCCCTCTGATTGAACCACACAAGCATAGACAGGCAACGAGTTGGGAGAGGATAGTCGAGGAGCTAAGCTAACAAGTTTCAACAACCTGTTCCTCATGAATCTCCTTCTGCAACTGTCGTACTCGTCGCTTGTCTTGCTCGACTTGTTCGTCGCTGAGCTCAACCTTCTGTCGAAAAGAACATCAAGACTCATAACGGGAACAAGTGTGAGAGCAAGGGAGACGAGGGGAGGAGGGGAGGAGAGAGAGAAAGAGGGGGGTTGGGATGGGGGAGGATAAAAGCAAACGAAGAAGACATGAACACAAACCTTGGAGGACGAGTGATCAGCCTGGGAAGAGCCCTGTACAAGCATCAGCCAACAGCTGGGGTCCAGCTAGCTCCTTCACCTTCTCTGTCAGCGACTTGGCATCCTGAGAGACGTGAGCACTGAGCGCTATGATGGCGACCAGAAGCACCGCCCCCGTCCCTGCAGCCACAAGCGTTCGCCATGCTCGACGACACATCTTCCTACCCTCCTCCTGCAGAATGACAATCAACCTCGTGAGTCTCATGGTTGGTTGCAATCTCGAGCATGATCAGCAAGAATCTGCAAAACAGCATGCTGCTGTTGACATGGTCCTTCCTCGTCTCTCTATCTCCTTGGCTACCATCGTCCTCCCTTTCATGTATTAATCTTCATCTTTTATCCTTGTGACTTTATCTTCCTTCCTTCCAACCTCTAGCCCTTCCATGCCACTCTCTTCCTCATTCGTGCTTCTTGCTCCATAATCGTTGCTCCTTCCTGCCTGCCATCCTTCGCCTCCGTCGCGTCCTTTGTCCCTTACCTGCTCATCCGCCATGACGACGGAAATAGCGGCGACAAAACTCATCACCCTCATCCCTTAAAAATGCCTCGTCAAAACCGGACTGTGACCCTCATCCCCATACTGACACACCCCGTGACGGTGGTGGGCAGGGTGGTGGGCAGCTGGGTGGGCAGGTGAGGTGGGTGGTGGCGCCGGGCCCGGGGCGGCCCGCGGCGCGCGGCCGTCGGGGGCCGCCACTGGCAGGGCCGGGCAGTCCGCCGGCCCGTCCAGTGACCGACTCCTGCTCCCGGACGGTCACCCGGGCCGAGGCTCCAGCCCCTGATCCGACCAGGCCGCCGGGCCGTCCGACGATTTCCGAGTAAAGGCGGCGGCGACCGTTCCGACGCCGGGACGGTGAGTTCCGAACACGGAACTCGGGCCGTTCCGACAACGGTTCGTCACTCCGCGGCCCCACGGTTCCACGCCTGGTCCAGTGGGTAGTTTACTCAAAATTAAGCGAAGTTACAGGCTGAAAAAATCAGTACGAGGATAATCAGGAGAGACGACCGGGAGGCTTGACCGTCGGACCCTGATCATGAGTCCGGGGGGCCCGGACACTGTCGCACAGGCCACACGGCGAGAAGAGGTGCCAGGTCGGGGCATTCCAGACGGTACCGCCGGTTTGACACACTGCCAGGCTGTGACGTGACACGGGAGTTGGCGGCCGGCAACCGTCACAGTACGGTAGTGGGCGTAGCACTTGAACTCGGAACGTGACTTCCCGTCGGTGCGACTCCAGGCCCGGCTCCGGGATCACCGATCGGGTGACAGGCCGGAACTTCCGGCGGCTCAGGGGCTGCCCGGACTCTGACTCGCCACAGTGCGGCAGCCGGGCAGGCCGGGCTAAGTACAGCGGCGGCACTGACTCAGGAACTGAAGGGTGAGTGTACTATGACAGTAGAGAAAGAAACACTATTATGAAGCACGCCGAGAGGAGAGGAGAGAAGGGGAAGGAAGAGAAGAGGAGAGAAGAGAAGAGAAGAGGAGAGGAGAGGAGAGGACAGGGGAGAGGAGGGCGGGGGAGGGGGGTGGGGAAGAGAAGGGCCGAGGAAAAAGAAGAAAAGACCAACTATGGGGAGCAGCAGTGCCGAAGGACGGATGAGATTAGAGGAAGAACTTTGCTTGCTGGAGCTCAGCGATGATGGTATCAGTCTCGTTCTCCTTCGTCTTGTCGTCTCCTCGTTCCTGCAGAACTCGAACCTGAGTCAATCGAGTCAGAGGAGTTGAGCCCAGGATGCGGCGCCATACCCAGCTGTTGGCCTGTAGCTCTTGAGCGAGAGCAGGATGAAGCTAGAGGAGAAAGAGGAGGAGGAGGAGGTTCAGACACCAAATGACCAGGGCGACATCGAGCGGTGTACCGCAAGACGGTGGAGGGTACGGAGGGTGAAGAAGGCTGTGCGTCGAGTCGTCTCCTCCCTCTGCATCACCTGCCACACACCTCACTGACTCGCTCCAGGAGCAGAGGATACTTGCCCTGCATAGGAGGGGCCAACCTCCCGCTGCTAGGAACGTCTCCTGATTCATCCGATTCCTCTGGCGCAGAGCCGTCAAAAGCTTGCTGCCACCCCCCCCACTTTCGTCTTGACCCTCCTCCTCCACAGGCTCTCTTCCTCCCCTCCACTTCTCCTGCTTCGCCACGTCTTTTCGCTCCTCCTCGCTTCTCTCTCCTCTCCTCCTCCTTTCGACACTCACGCAGATGTAGTAAACAGCGAGGACGAGTTCGTCAACGTCGAAGATGACCCCGAACAGCTCCTGCTCCTCTTCACCCTCTCTACTCCTCCTCTCTTCCTCACCTTTCCCTCCAGAGTGTGCCGCAAGGCCTCGCACAGTCGGTCCAGCGCCCTGCTGGGAGTCACGGCAGGGAGGAGGAGAGGAGGAGAGGAGGAGAGGAGGAGAGGAGGAGAGGAGGAGAGACTCACGCGCGGCAGGAGACGATCAGCGGATGGTCCTGCACCTGCACAGGGTGAGCAGGAGGCTGCCAGGAGCAGGACGGACTTGATCACTGTCCTGGTGCTGCCCGTAGAGATAGGCTGCAGCCTTGGAGGCCGAGAGACCTGAAGATGGTGAGGAGGGAGCGAGGGGAGCGGCAGCACCTGCTCGTCCTGGTTGATCGATGAGCGAAGCCAGCACGCCTGCCACCACGTCTGCCAGCAGCGTCAGAGGCTCAAGCAACAAGTCGAGCAGGCAGCACCCGTCCTAAGCGCCACCATGACCCCACTGTCCTCCTTCCCAGCATAGAGCGCGAGGTTGGAAAGGATACCAGCAGCAACAGCACAGATCTAACAGCAAGGTCAGCGTCAAGATCCTCCTCCTCCTCCTCCTCCTCCTCCTCCTCCTCCACTAATAAATATTTCAAGTAATAAATATTTTTCAAACTTCAAAATTAATTCGGAATAAAGTCTTAGCAATAAACAATATATGAGCGCAAAAAAATTTGAATACGATAAAATAAAGAGCGTAAAGTAAATGACACCAAATTTATAGTGTTCTGGAGAAATTCCCTTACTCCACTCTTCTAGGCCCTCCAACTTTTATTCCACGTGCCTCCAAGATCCTTGGATCATCCACACGAAAAAAAAGATGTGCTAACAAGACTCTAACGACTTTCGCACCAACGACGTGCTTACAAGAGACTCACTCTTTGGCACTTATCAATACGTGCTTACACGACACTCACTCTTTCGCACTCAACAAAAACCTCACAACAAGAAATTGCTCTCTAAGAGCTTTACAAAACCCCTCTCATGATATCTAATGAAACAAGTGATAAGCCAGAGTGAGAATTTCGAAATTTCGTAATAAATAAATGATTCTT